AGTTATTTTTTTTCTTGTTTTTAAGTTTTATTTTTTGTCTTAACTCACATTTTTAGTCATTCTAGTTATTTTTTTTCTTGTTTTTAAGTTTTATTTTTTGTCTTAACTCACATTTTTAGTCATTCTAGTTATTTTTTTTCTTGTTTTTAAGTTTTATTTTTTGTCTTAACTCACATTTTTAGTCATTCTAGTTATTTTTTTTCTTGTTTTTAAGTTTTATTTTTTTGTCTTAACTCACATTTTTAGTCATTCTAGTTATTTTTTTTCTTGTTTTTAAGTTTTATTTTTTTGTCTTGACTCACATTTTTAGTCATTCTAGTTATTTTTTTTTCTTGTTTTTAAGTTTTATTTTTTTGTCTTAACTCACATTTTTAGTCATTCTAGTTATTCCATACTTATTACCGGACCTTGAACGCAGCACGTCGTTGACGCTGCCCGCTGGAGGCGGAGCCTTGTGACGTCAGGGGGTGGAAGAAAACAGCAGAACAGGAATCAAAACAAGAGACGGACACGCCTTCATTCTTAAAGGTTAAAGCAGAAAATTCTTTAAAGCTGCTGCAGAAAAAGAAGGAAAGCCCCTGAAGCGTTTCATCCGAGAGGAAACCAAAACTAAAAATAAAGAKAGGGAAAGAAACGCGGCCGCGGCAGGGACAAGTCCACTGCAGAAATGGAGTCCAGAGAAAAGCCTGACAGCGCTCACAGGAGCCGCTGATAAAGGTCGAAACCACCGCCGAACTGACGTCCGAACCGCGCAAAATGCCCAACCAGAAGAGCAGCAAGGGGAAGAAGAGCAAACGCACCAACAGCAGCGGGGACGAGCAGGAGAATGGAGCGGGTGCAGCCGCCGCCGCAGCGGGAGGCGCGGCCGCGGCCGCGGCTGCTGCCGCCGCTGCACCCAGGACCGAGCGCTGCCCCTCCGGCGGTAAGGAGCCGTGGAGAAGTTCGGACATGCTGCCGAAAAAAGAACCTCTGAACCCCGATCGAACCCACCGTGGCGCACACGTTTGCACCCTGCAGTTAGTTACACAAACTGAACAAACCCTGGTGCACGACAGGCGTCAAGGCCTAAAACTGATGTTTGTGCATCAGGTAGGAGCTGTTGTTGCTCAACAGCGCTGAACCTCGGCTGCTTGCAGTGATCTTTAGATCCTCTTCAGTTTGTTTTGTTCAGAACAACTCAAACTATRAGCTGTGTTCAGTTCAGTTGGTTGTTTTTCTTTTATAATCCACATTTGCTCTTAAAGATTTGACCTTTTTACCTGAGAAKACCTGTAGTTTATCCGGAGCCCTGCTGGAGAAGTGACCCAGCTGAACCCTGCTCCATCACTGAASACCCGGAAGTAAAACAACCCAAACTGCTCACCTGTACAGCTCACCTGTTACAYCTAACAGAAGCTAAAGGTAGCAAAAGGCTAGCTACAAGTAGCAAAACACTTGCAAGAATTAGTCAATCTAGAAAAATTTAAGTGGCTAAGAGAAGGATTAAAGATGCAAAAAACTTACTAAAACAGGCTAAAATAACAAGTTAACAAAAGATTAGCTAAAAGTAGTAGAATGTGTGCCAAAAACTAAGTAGCTAACAAAAAGCTAAAGGCATGAAATGCAAGCTAAAKGTAGCAAAGGATTAGCTAAAACTTCGCAGTAGTAAAAGTGTAGCTAAACCATAAAACAGAACCACAGCTAAATATTACAAAATGCTAGTTTAACAAAAATCTAGCATAAACTAGCAAAACCCTAGCTAGAAATAGCACACGCCAAAAGTTAAATAAAAGCTTTACGTTGCAAAATGCTACCTAGAATTATCAAAAGATTAGCTAAAACCTAGCTGTAGCAAAGGGTAGTTAAACTGTAAAAGTAAAAGAACAGCAGCTAAGTATATTAACATGCTTGCTAAAACTATCAAAAGGCTAGCTTAAAGTCAAGATTAGCWAAAGACTAGCTAAAAGCTGATTGTAGTAAATGGGTAGATAAAATATAAATACAACAAAAGGCTAGCTTAACATTAAAAGTAGAAATATAAAAGTTTAAATTAGCAAAAGGCTAGCTATATATGCTAAAAGCTTACAGCTAAATGTTGCAAAATGCTAGCTAAATGTATAAAAAGGCAAACAAATGATCAAAAATGCTAGCTAAATGTATTAAAAGGCTAGCTAATACAATCAAAACAAAGATTTGCTAAAACCTAGCAGTAGCAAAAGGGTAGCTAAGCCATAAAAACAGATCAGCAGCTAAACATAACAAACTGCTAAAAGTATGAAGAGGCTAACTAAAAGCTTGATGTTGCAGAATGCTAAGTTAGAGTGTGGTAGAGCAAGCTGAAAGCTACTGTAGCAAGAGGCTATCTAAAGACTAAAAATAACAAAACACTAGCTTAAGGTTAAATGTAGTGGAATAAAATCTAAAAGTCAAAAAGATAAAAACTGTTAACTGAAGCAGATCGTAAAGAGGATGTTTCTGAAGAAACTAAAGACATTTTGATGTAAATAAATTGAAACATTTTGAAAAGTACAGCAGTTACAAAACACAAAAGTCATAGTTTTCACTTAAATAAAGCTAAAAGATTTGATTTAGGACCAATTAAAATAACACAAAGTATACATAAAATAGCTATATTGAAAAAATAAATTAAAATTGTGTATGATTTTACACTATTAAATTAAACAAAGTACAAACGAGCTCTTAATAATTGCAGAAAAGGTTCAGTTTCTTCTTTTTGAGTGGATTAGAAATGTTCTGATGACTTCCTGTCTGTTCAGCTGAGTCAGCAAATCTATTAGATTTAAACTTTAAAGGAGTCCAGTGGTTGTTGGCTTCAGCTGCAGCTCATCTAATCAGACAGAAGCTAAGTTTGTTCAGTTTGTGTCTTCAATACACAGCACTGTGCAAAAGTTTTAAACCGCCGTGAACTCCCTGCACTTCATCAGACGTGTGTGTTTTTCTTTTTAGTCTGTGGTGACAGAGAGCTGGCTTTACTGTGCCGGAAAGGGAAGGAGGAAACACACACACACACACACACACACACACACACACACACACACACACACACACTATATGTGTACTGTATGTTTTTATCTAAGTGTATTAATCCATTACACCAACAAAAGTGCATCCAATTCTTTACAGTATATATATTTAGAGTATTTGCCTCTGTGATTGTTTCTATTCTTAGTGAAGCGTGGATGACCAGAGGCCTATTGCACAAAAATAGGATAGGGGATTAACCCGGGATTTTGGTGTAAACCTGAATTAATTAGGCCTTGAATGGGTTGCATGAAGTACGAAGCACTTATGTTTCTGTGGTAAGAAG